TTGCCGCAAGCCTTGATTTTTGAGGCTGCAGCAAATTCCTCCCAGAGGACCAGGCAAATTCCTCCCAGAGGGCTTTTTCCCAGTTGTTGTGTGCTTTCAAATTATTTATGACATATGACAACCCTAAACTAAAGTGGCATAGTGGTTTGAGTGCTGGACTGCAACTCATGGCTTGGCCATGAAACCCACTGTGTGACCTTGATCAAGTCACACACTCTCAGCCTCAGATGATGGCAATGGCAACCCCATCTGAAAAAAAAGTTGCCAAGAAAACCCCATGATAGGCTTTAAAGCTAAAGGTATTCCCCGTTGACAAGGTTGTCAAGTCATGTCTGACCATAGGGGGTGGTGCTCATCTCCATTACTAAGCACAGGGGTCGGCATACCTTTTGGGGGTGGAGCTGGTTCCGCTGTCCCCCGATCGTCAGTGGGCCGAAGGGGGGGAAATGGTGCTGGAGGTGTGTGTGCACGTGAGCTTGCGCACGCATGCACACTATTCCCACTGTCGTGTGCATGCATGCATGACGCGGGGTGCCATTTTGCATTCCAAAATGGTGTCTGCGCTTGCACACACATGCGCACAATGGCAGGTGCCATTGTGGTATGAAAAATGGCACCATGCATCACGAGCACATGGGCACGATGCCAGCGCTGTTTTGCAGTCCAAAATGGCACCCACCGCCATGCGCATGCATGCGCGAGCGCCATTTTGGAATGCAAAATGGTGCCCTGCGTCACGTGCACATGCGCGGTGGCAACAACGGCAGCAGGACTGGCCACGGGCCAGTTATAAGGCCTTGACAGGCTGGGTTCGGCCTGCGGGCCGTAGTTTGCCGACCGCTGACTAAGCAGAAGAGCCAACATTGTCAGAGACTACTCTGGGATCATGTGGACAGCATGATTGCACAGAATGCTGTTTACCTTCCTACTGAGAAGTGGTACCTATTTATCTACCTACATTTGCATGGTTTTGAACTGCTAGGTTGGCAGAAGCTAGGACTAGTGAAGGGAGCTCATGCCATCCTGCCACACCCAGGCCTCGAACTACCAACCTGCCAATCTTGCAGTCAACAGAGTCAGCGTCTTAACCACTTGAGCTACTGCATCTGGTTGCCATGAATCAGAAACTACTCAGAGGCACATCACTACCAAGGCAAACTATCATGGGGTTTTCTGAGGCTGAGAGTATGTGACTTGCCCAAGGTTACCCAATAGGTTTTCATGGTTGAGTGGGGATTCAGACCTTAGAGGGGTTGCAGACTGCCAGAAATAGTGCAAATTGAGTCCACTTTTAGGGTTAGGGTTAGGGTTAGGGAATCATGGAAACTGTAGTTTATTGTGACACCAAAGCTCTCTGACAGAGAAGGCTCGATGTCTCAGAAAAAAAACCAGTACCCATGATTCCCTAGTACTAACCCTAACCCTAAAAGTGGACTCAATTTGCACTATTTCTGGCAGTCTGCAACCCCCCTTAGTCTCCAGAGTCATAGTTCAACACTCAAACCACTACACACCCTAACATTCCCTAAAGACAAGGACTGCTATATCTGTAGCTCTGGGTGGTACTCTTTCAAATATTTGGCAGTTGGAGTTGTACTCCCTGCTAAACCAGAGAGAGGAGGACAAGTAGACAGAGAAAATGAATGGGGTTTCGTAATAATAAAAAAAAAAGTGGTGCAGGGCTCTCAAGATCTTTGAACAGAGAGGGACAGAAGGTATTTTTGCCTGGTTACAAGGGAAGCAAAGGACCAGAATTAAAGGTTGAATGAGCTCCAGGAAAGATGGAGAGAAAGATCAGCAAGAAAGAAAAACAATGAAAATTATTTTTTTTAAAAAAAAAAAAGCAGTAGGGGAAGCAAAAGCACCACAGTGGCAGTGAGATTCTAGCCTTTGGGACAGTCACTACTTCCACTAATTAGAAATAAGACCATCTTATTTTGGCAGTTGCAACTGTTCATTGCAGGATTATAGCCCAATACCCCCCATCATAAATACATTTGGCTCAAATAAGTTCCACTGATTTCAGTAAAACTTTCTTCTAATAAGCAGACACAGAAGGCATGATTCTGACACTGAAATCATTCAGCTGCAAGTCCTATTTTATTTTATTTTATTTTATTTTATTTTATTTCAGATCTAGTATTTTACTAGTAATGCTGATTTCCCCCCACCATATACTTCGTAGTTTACTTGATTCTTCTGCTGAAGACTACATCGTTGCACTGTTTTTGCAGAAATTACAAATCTTAGATTGTTCTTTTTCTGTATTCTTACCTTGTGCCAGGTGCAATGACCCCTGTTTATCACCCCATCACATTCTAATATCTGAATCAGCTCTTCAGGAGACAGCATTTTCCCCCAGTGACTGATGAACACTGCTCTTTGTGGCCAGATGGATTTTCTGTCTCTCTGCCACTGACTTTCTCTTTGTTGCATTCTCTCTTTATACACCTACTTATCTCAAGTTCTCTTC